CTCTTACTCTCTCTCCCTCTCTCTCTCTCTCTTCCCTCTCTCTCTCTTACTCTCTCTCACTCTCTCTCCTCTCTCTCTTACTCCTCCCTCTCCCTCTCTCTCCTTACTATCCTCTCCCTCTCTCTCTCTTACTCTCTCTCACTCTCTCTCCCTCTCTCTCTCTTACTCTCTCTTGCCCTCCCTCCCTCGCTCTCGCTCTTCTACTCTCGCTCTCGTTCTCGCTCTCGCTCCCTCGCTCTCGCTCTCTGCTGTACCGCCTTGACTGTACGTACAACCCGTTATCATAAAGAGCCACCTATTCTGTCAGCGCGGCTGCCATGAGTGGTCTGCATCGCACCTGTGGCTACACCGCTGGCAAAAGGTTTACACCGGGGAACGCGGATTTGACTAAGCCAGCCGTGAAAAGCAAGGTCAGCTGGTAAGTCCTACGCTGACCAGCGCACTCTACTCACCACTATGCGCATCTAGATGGGGAACCCGCCGATGCTGTTACAGTTGCTAACACTCTGGTTTTCATGACTGGTTCCGGTTTTCAGCGCGGATGGCGGTGCCAATGACAACAGCTTTAGTTGCGTGACTCGAGAAATAACAACACCTTTGTTCTCTGGATGTAATTTCCGAATCCATCTTCCATTTACCCATACCCATTTACCCGACCGTGGTGAAGCCACGTATACAACTGTGCCCATTCGGGCTTTGGTCTAGGCATATCTGCATAGAGCTGTCGAGAGTCAGTCTAATTCACACTCCTGAAATAAACGCCGAACAGTTTCACCAGATGAAAAGCACGGATCGAGTGATGCAACAGCAAAACACGGCAGTCCGTTCCGGTTGCCGGAACTCTTTAAACTGAATGATAATCACAAAACGTCGCCGCCAACCAGCCTATGAATCATAATGCACACATGGCCAAGACTCATCCTGCTCTGACCCCAACTCATCCCTTATCCGTCCGCACAAGTGCGCTGTCAGCATGAGACTCAGTCCCGCAAACACGTGGGGTGAGTCACAGCCTCACCGGCATCCGGCAACGCCCCGCCCACCGCGCCCGCGGCACTCACCTGGAATGTGATCCGGCTGGTGACCTGGTGGAAGGTCACGCCGGACACGACCTGGCAGGCCATGCGCGCCGTGCAGCCCCGGTACAGGCCCCAAAAGCCGTCGCGCTTCCTCATGTACGACACTGGCGACAGAGAGCCGACACGTCGCTCCCAGCTCGCGTCGGATGAAAGGGTCTCGCTACACCTCATGAAGCAGACAAGAGGTTCATAGGAAGTATTATTTTCTAGGAGCTAAAATTTTGTCACACAGCAGCACACATCAAACGAGGGCATATTTACGTCAAGCTGTTAAGCATATCACATGCCTTGAAAGTCATGATTTGGGTCCTTCCTGACAAACTGTACAGAAGACTGGTGCACTGTAAAGGAATGCTCACTGTAGGTGAAGACGTTGGGTAAGCCCAGCGCTGGGCGACCAAACAACGTCTTCGTCGGTCTCGGTGGCAACGGCTCAAAACCGATCTGAAATGCCACCGTGCAACGATCAGCCCGACGAAGAGTGGTACAAGACGAGTGGTACAAGAAGAGCCACAAGGTGCACAAATACATTGCAGACAACCTCCCATGTCCCTATGCAATTCAGCGACTTAAAAGGAACTACCAGTTTGAATTCATATGATGAATACACAATGAATACATTTTCTACAAATAGATCAATACACAAAATAAGAATACACTATGGCTACTACATTCCACCCACCTGCATGAGAACTTTGGCATTGTCCAATGGACTGAGAGCTGCATTCAGGGCCAGCTTGGCAGCCCCATGGTAGAAGGAGAGCTCTTCGTAATGGTGGTTACCCATGGTAGCACTGGTTGCAGCAGGCTCAGAGCCCTTGGCTGGGTAGTGCTGTCCCTGGTTGCTAGACTTGGTAGACATTGAGGGTTTGTCAACAGAACCTGGCAGTCCAAGTTAGATTTGAGGACACATGCTTTTCACAGCAGAGGCAGACCACACAAGCATACTAAAAGGATCCATCCTGGTGAGAGGGTAAAATGACTAGCTTTATTTTATGGTTCACTACAAAAAAGCTTCTCTGAGAGAATTTCATACCCATCAGGGCATGCTTTGTGCACAGCTGGGTCTCTAACTGTGTGCAACCCAACCTCACACATACATGTAATGAGAAATTGTGCATGATGCGTGGTCCTGAAATTTGTGCTTACTGAGATTGAGTTGTGTACACAATTGTAGCACAATGAACATATCAAAACTAGGGCTTAGCCTTTGCACAGTTTGGATGCCTAAGATACCTGTAAAATGCAAAATATAGAATTGGGGCTATCTTTGTGTGCCACTAGCATGTGCATAAGTGGACTTCCAGAGCTTAAGTGAATCAAGGTTTTCAGTAAATGCCAAGAAGTATTTGAAGACAAGCTAATAATCAAAGTCAGCATTGCAAAAAGCTTCCTGAAATTAGATATTCCAATCATCACACCAAATAATGTTGTAAAACCCTATCATTGGTCATGGAGAGCCAGTGTGATTTTAGTTTTGTTTTGCATTATGCAGCGGGTCACAGTCACCCCTCAGCACTGGCAGTGTGTTCATGGTACAATCGAAGAGCACATGGTGGAGGCAAAGAAAAGGCCATCTAAACATGATGGCTGACATGAACATGAGACAGTTGGAACTACTGAAGTGGCGTATCAGGAAGGGACAGAGGAACTCAATGCTGCAGAACTCAATGCTGTGGCTGAGCCAACACTGAGTGGACACTGGGGCCCACCAAGCCACACAGCTGTGAGAAGTAGAGTGGAGACAGCTGCAGAGGACTACACAGCCGGAGAAGGATTGGCACCCAGAGCAGCATGCCAATGTCAAGTGGGTGCAACTCCATCACGAAATGCCAAGGCAGGGGAGGGGTGGAAATGCAGGCCAATGCTCAGCACCCCAGGCTGTGCAGGATCCCTCAGGTAGGAAGCAGAAGTACAGAAGTAAGTCTAAATAGAAGTGGACACTCACCACCTGCCTCACAGCCATAAGGAGGCAGTGCTGGCCAATGCTCAATTGATCAACAATGGCAACATCACTGTGACAGTGTGTTCCGTGGCTCACTGTTATGGAGGGTAAATGCGCAACATCAGTGTGACATGTGTTCTGTGGCTCACGGAGATGGAGGGCAAATGCAGAGTCTTTGCTGTACTTTAGGTCAGGTAGGTCTGAATCCCCTGCCAATCCTTCTGCATGTGTTATGCCACCTCAAAGTTAAAACTTCTGCAGAGGGCAAGATGCACATCAATGATAAAATGATCAATGGCTTTCATGGCCAGGAGACTACAATCTCACTACTTTAGCCAACAATGCACTGGAGCAGCCCAAGTGGCTCAAGAAGGTTATTATGGAAGCATTGGCTGTAACTGTTTTTTTTTTACCACCCACATTACAAGAGACTGACTTGGGATGCATTTCATTGTCACATTATCATACTCATTGTTTAATGCTACATGATTATGACAACAAACAATACCAACCATATTTATTACCTTGCCATGCAATTTGCCAATATCAGTTTAAGCTAAATAGCAAGAAGCTGCACATTGAATGTGAGGCCTCTCCAATATCACTGAGATGTACACATCATAGCAGGTGAATAATGTAAAAAGCATACAAATTATAAGTGCAAGATTGATCAAACAAGCCATAAAATGCAGGAAAGAAAGGAATGAACAGAAGTAGGCTTGCAAAAATTAACTGGATGTACCATAATGCACAATCATCCCTTCATTTCAGAACAACGGCCAAGGAAAGGCTAGGGGTCAAGCCACCCTCCCTTCAGCCTACAATTTGTCTAAATATGACATGAAGCAAACTTAAAGACATAACATCCAAAGCAACAGGAGCTAACAGATCCAAAAGCACTGCATCATTGGAAGAGTACAACTGAAGGTTTGTACTGAGGCAAAGGAAAACTAGAGTAAGTTACTAATAACATATGAAGTCAACATAGCATGAGAAAGCACAAGAAACTAAATCATATTATATAATCATTCTGTAACAGTCAATCAGCAATTGATGTCATTGGGAAAACAGCGATATTGATTATGCTTCTCGCGGTTTATTGACTCAGTTTGTAAGGAGTGAACATCAGCACCCAAATATTGCACTATTTCAACTGAGGAAAGGATGCTACAATTGCTATCATCTAAATCGGAATTACATAAGGCTACAGCACATAATCTGTGCATCTATTTGGATATTTGCATCCCACCACCAACCATAACCCTCGGCGGCGCCTTTCTCATTCAACACCCCACCTGAAAGACAACCTGAACCTAACGCCGCGATCACGTTTACTATCACCGCGGTTCATTTCGTTAGAAACACGCGGTGACCTCACCTGCGCTGCGGGCGACAACCAGCGACACGCCGTGCTGTTGCCGTGCTGTACCTGCTTGCCAAGGTAATAAGCACCCTAATTCTAGGGCCTTGGTAGATACCAATAATTTGCGGCCAGCGATATGGCAGCTCGTAAAAGTTCAAATGGCAGCCTGCTAAGTTATGGAGTACTTTATAGAACGTATGCATCGATACCATTTAATGCGCGCACGAATCGAGTAACATCACTGCATAAAAGCGGCGTTGGCAGGGGGAACATGTGGGGCACTCGCCCCACCTCCCCTTAGGTTCTGAGGGGTGGAACCGACGGCCAAGGTCCTTAGGTCCTCCAATCGGCCCGATTGGAGGACCCCAGAGCACGAAGGACTGGCTGGAGATCTTACTCGGAGGCCCCGGTTCATGGGGACGGACCCTCAGCTGACACTCACAGGACCCTTTGCGCCGATCATGGGTGTAGGAACAAGGGGGCCAGGAGGGCAGCAGTGTTAACTGGCTCTCCACTTTTCAGATAAAGGTTGGGTTTAGCTTACTTATGCACCACATTAGAAACATACATGCTGATTTGCCTAGTTCACCAGCCATCTTCCTCACGATGCCTCCGTCATCTTTTTCGTTTGCTTGCTGGCGATCGTTTAACGTCACAGCCGCAGAACCGACGTCACGCGGCCTATGGAGACTGCAACGCCGGGCGTCGAGGCTGTTGCTGGTATGACTTGCGAGCGCGCAAGTTCAAAACCATGTTACATAAATTTTCATCAGTAATCAATTCTGACTGAATCTTGAGCATTTTAAGACGAACATGGATTAGTTATGTTGACACAAATTTAGGACTCCATTCATCTACAATCTACGTTCAGGGAGTCCTCAATATATAGAACACGGGAGAAAACATGGAACTGTAGTCTATGTGACAAGTATTGGACCACCTGCTGCGATCAGGCATGTGGTTGCGTCAATGAGGGCTCCTATGCTGATCCGAGGCCAACTACGCGGGTCAGAAGGCTCCCGTGTCAGGGCGGGGAACAATGTGACATGATATATTCTCCTAATGGCCTCCGGATCGACCTAGAGATCCCGCCTCGTGTCGCCAGAATGACAGCCAGAAGACACTTCACTTCGCGGTGGGACGGAGTGACCCCTTCAGCCTTTGACTGAAATCCGGTAATGTGCCTCTGGTGTTCTACACAAGGGGCCCCTTATACGGAAGGGAATAAGGGGTCTTACTATTGTTGAGTAGAGTGGGGTTCTCATTATTGTTGAGTAGAGTGGGGTTCTCATTATTGTTGAGTAGAGTGGGGTTCTCATTATTGTTGATTAGAGTGGGGTTCTCATTATTGTTGAGTAGAGTGGGGTTCTCATTATTGTTGAATATTTCGAACGGTAGAAATGAATTTAAAAAGAACGAGCAAGGCTATCCCATGTTTGCCCGAGCACGTTCATTTTTTCAGAATGGATTAATAAAAAAAAATCGTCAGAACGGCGTTGGCCACCGCAAGTGCCACCAGAAGGCAGGCGCCGTGTTAATCTGTCTTCTGGACAGACAAATAGTTACATAAACACGAAAAATGGAGATTCTACCTTTACTCTTACAGCTTCACGACACAGACACACAGACCACATTCCAGCACCACTTCACGGTGCTTTAAGGGCCTATCCGTTCATATCATCAGTCAAAAAATCCCACGCGTGAAATATACACCCAGACTGCCTTCTCAATGTATGATTTGATATCCTGAAGCGTTAAAAGGTACTTATTTCAGAAGCGTCATCATTTTCGTCCATCCGTTGGCCGCGGCTCAGCATTAGCTGCTGGGCCGATGCTGCCCGGCCTAAGGGGACTGTTACACCTGGTGTTGAGGTTTCTGTTACTAAGACTTGCGAGTGCGCGTGCTCAAAATTATGTCACACAATGCGTGCTCCTCATCGATTCGAGTGTTTAAAGGCAATTACTTCAGGGGCGTCATCCTTTTCGTCTACCGGTGGGCCACGACGAAAAATTGGCGGCCGGTCTAGCAGACATGCGCTCTGCGCTCTGCAGACTACGGAGACTGCAATGCCTGGTGTCAAGGTTTTTGTTGCTAAAACTTGGGAGCACGCATGTTTTAAAAATCGCGTTACATAAATTGTATCGCTAATTGATTCTGGCTGAGTGTTAAATATTTCCAAACAAACGTGGCTTGGCCATGTTGATACACGTTGTTGACCACTCGAGCTACAATCAAATTTTCATCTTTAAATTTCGATCAAACATGGCGATCTACCATTGACCGTCACGACATCCTTAATGTCTGTAGAGCACATGTAAAACATTCTGGCAAAGCTTCTTAATTATGTCGATTTATAAAAAGCCCAATGAGCTATGGTACATTAAGGGCACCGGCGATTTATTTCATATGGTGGTTCAACGCCTGATTTCTGCACCTTATTTACTTCAACGTACAAACAGAATTGATCTTACGGTAGCTCCCGGTTTCTGTTCTGGCTTCAAGATAAAAATGCCAATGAAACGAAGAAAACCGTATCCCTTGTTAACAAGTAAGCTATATCCGAGGATATTTCGTGGGGTCACTATAAGAGAAGCTTTTGTCAACCCTGTGCTCCCCCTTAGCGAGGTTCTGCTACGCCCCCGCCTACACATAAAAGCAGATGAAGTCGTCTACGTTGAATGATAGGCAATTAAATGTCCGTTGGGCCAATTCATACGTGAGGTATGCAGCTTCCCGGGAGGAGTGGCTTTTTCTGGGCATAGGCGGATCCCGGGAGGGGGGGGGGGGGGCCCGGGGCAAAACAAAAATTCTGAGGGTATGTTTTGCCCCCCCAAAACAAAATTATCAGAGCTTCATGAAAGTTTCGTCTATTTACCGTCTGTTTGAACTTTGACTGTTTAACTGTTTTGTTTTAACTTCTGTTTAAGATTCAAAGGCATTTCGGTGTTTTAATGGTGTCCCTACTAGGTACTCGCGGGAGGCACCATGCACTGGACCTCGGATCCCACACGAGCCAGCTGGCGACGAACGGTTGCCACCCCCCCCCCCCCCCAAAAAAAAACAACTCCAGGCTAGATCCGCCCCTGTCTCCGGGGGTGTGGTGTGGTGTAAGGGAAGATAATTCGGAAAAAGATACTGTTGCAGGTGTCCAACATGTTTTACACACCAATAAGAATCCAGAAATATGCAACAAAGCAGCCATATGATCAGTTCGCAATCAGCCATATGGGAAACAGCTGGGCCTAGGCAGTGGCCGCCGACGGCGGACGGAACCAGGGCCCAGACAAGGAATATATAACAGAAGGGCCTTGATTCTATGGCTTAGTTGCTTAAGGATAATCTCCAGTTTTATGGCTTTTTGTCACGTTGTTTTCAGCAGTTTCAATCTTCCGGATTGGTTTCCGCATAAAATGCTGCGACAAGCCTTGCCTCTTGAAAAGCAGCCAGCGAAATGACGGCGCATGAGAAATCCGTGGCACTGTGTGCCATCGATTCACTTTCAAAATTCCCACCAAGCTATGTCCATGCCGTATTTCGGCATCTACCCTGTGAGGACAGATGTCTGCTCAATGACCCAAAATGCCTACCCGCTCGTGGAATTCCGCGTCCGCAGGAAAAACAATGTTAAAGTGAACGAATGGTCTTGGGTAGCTGAACAGCCTTATCTGCCGAATGACATAGATGAGTCGAATAGGCAAGCTTGCGCACCAGTAAGAAACAGCTCTCGATACATATCTACCATGGCAGCCATGCCATTTAAATAAAGAGCGATAACAACCTCCATCTGTATCCCTCCCTCCCCCCGTACCCCCTGTGCTCGGCTCCCCACGTTTTGAAACGTTCTTGCGCCTATTAGATATATGGCGCCGATTGGACACAAGGGACCCCTGAGTTGTCAAGGGTATTAATATTGGTCAGGCACCACCAGTAGCGCACAGTAGCGCACCGTCGGTCTGAGCACTGGGAAGCCACTTCCCAAACAGGTACGAGGTTGAGTCCGGCGATTTTTGATTCGTCGGGGCCTCTGACACAATGAGGGTTTCCTGTGTCGGGGCCCAGGTCAGGGGCCCCACAGTCCCTAACAGGGGTCCTTATTTGCAAGTGGTCCTGAGTCGGCCAGGATTCATGTTTAAGAGGGCCTGAAGAGAGCCCTGCAGGGTCTCTCTAGACGAGCGACCAAGGGTCCGATTGGAGAGCTGAAGCGCCCGAACGACTGAGTGTAGGTTACATTATGGATCCCGACTCGTAGGGCCGTGATGTCAAATTTCAGTTAGAGAGCCTCTTGCACCGATTTGTTGCCCCTGGGACAGTGCGTTTCTCTATTTCGGTCAGAGATCGCCAACACCGAACAGTTGGCTCCATGTCGATTTCAGTCCTGTGGACCCATTTCCCAAGCAGGAACAAAACCGGACCCGCGATTTCCACTAGTTGCAGCCATGAAACAATGCGGGTCCCTGTCTCGACCTGGGACCCACAGTGCCTAATAGGGTGTCCTGTGTCAACAAGGGATCCCGAGTCAGCCTGGAAGCATTTGTTGAACAGAGACAGGGCCGGAATCTGAATGCTTGAGGGCCTCTTGCGTTGGCAAAGGCCGCTGACAATTGATGGAGACATGAGAGCTGGTGAAGGAAGTCCACATTGAGACCATAAAAGGGGCCCTGTGTCACCCAGGGACTCAATACCGGACGGTAAGCCCTCCACCCCATTATAGACGAGGGCCCTTTAAGCCGAACTGGAGTACGTGTGCCAGTTATTAAACCACTTGCGGCGATTAGGGATCCTGTTGCGTCAATAAGGGTTTCTGGGTCGATCCGGGTCTAACTGCGCGGGTCAGAAAGCCTCCGGCGTCAGAGAAAGGACCAACGTTTTAATGGTGTATTCTTCTGATGGCCTCCGGATCGACCAGGATTCCCGCACTGCCAGAATGGCGGTTGGAAGGCGCCCCGCGCTGGGACGGAGCAGCCCTTCAGCCTGGACCGGGAATGATAATGTGCCGCCCAGTGTTCCACTCACGAGGCCCCTTGCCCACAAAAATTAAAGGGTCCATAAGTTGTTCGGTGCATT